GTGAGTAGAGAGAGAGAGAGAAGCACCTTGAGGCTCATGTTTTTTTTTGGGGGGATAACCGCTGTTTTGGGAGAGCTAGGAGGTGGTGATGGTGGTCTTGGAGGGAGATGGGGAAACAATGGGGGGTGTGGAAGCAGGGGAGCGATGGTCATGCCACTTGCAACGAGAATGGTCATGGATCTGAGAGGCGCTTTCTGAAATGTCTTGAAGAGTTGGTGGCTCAGATTAGGGCTCCAACCACCTCCTGAGAAGATGGTTGGGGTGGGTGCCAGGGGGTCTAACCACCGAACCTGAGGATATGGTTGGAGCCCTAGGGTATATAACTATAAACCCCCAACCACCCCAACTGATCGGCGGCAGTCCCACGTGCCGTATCTGGGAATCTGTCAGAAGTGGAAGCCTCTTTGGAAGCCTCGGAGTAACAAGAAGCTACTAGGGGCTCCTGGCCTTACTAGGAGCAAGGACGCCAATTACGTTCGGGGCTCCTGGCATCGCTATGAGTATGGCTAAAAGCTACTAGTACGTAACAAGTAACGCCATCTTCAATGTGGGTGACGGAACCCAATAGCCCTCTATATCCCTCTGGTCGTCGGTCGAACGACCTTCAGGACTGGAGCCGCGCTCTCGCAGATGCATGGGCGGACCCGCATCGACCCTCCGATCCAGGCAGGCTTTTGGAGCGGAGGTTTTTGCGTGGATCCTGGTGTTCCGAGGTTTTATTTTTTACACTCTGACTCTCTAACATGGAAGTGGAACATGACCGCAAGCAAGCAAGACGACTTTCCGCTAATTACTTTCCTCAGGGGGGAATCCACTTCCATGTGATGTATTCGTCGGAGTGCATGGTTATTTTTTCCGTGACAGGTCCTTCGATAATACTCTCGGACTCCTTGGGATTGGTTCCCCAGCACTATAGTGGAGGCTGCAGAAGACTGTGCGGGCCAATCTAGACCAGTCAATTTTTGAAATGAATGGTATAATTGCAGGTACATCCAATCGTGCCTCCAAGCAAAAAGTGTGCGACTGTAGGATTATTTGATGAGTCATCTATGAAATCATTCCATGGCTCAAGCTAACCTAACGCTAACTTATTCACAAGGGGATTCTAGTAATGATTCACATCGACTATTCACTTCTACTTAGTCAAACATAGTTAAGCCTAAGTCCAGTCCTTCACTTCCATCGCCACCCTCCTCCGTCGTCCGGTCCCGTGGTCGCGGCTGCACGACGACGTGACCGGTGAAAAGCGTCCGTGGCCCATTGCGCGAAGCGCGTCTCGGCTCGAAGCACCACGTAGGTGGTGAAGCGGTCCTCTGGCGACACGCGACATTGTCGACATGAGCGAGACATGCCGGTGGCGCAGCCGATGTTTTTGGCGAAAGGAAGTGAAATAGAAGCTGAAGTGGATAGTTCAATCTACAAAGCCAGAATCACAAAAGGCATAGAACAAGAACTGCAAAGCCATTGTGAAGAATATGGAATCCCTCACGCAACCAGCTGGAACTGGGAGACCTTTAGGATTTCTAAAAAAGAGGATTCTCTTCCTTGAAATCATCTTCCAAGCCTAGAGAGTTGTGGGGTGCAAGGGGCAACATCTGAAACCCTCCAGGTCAAATCATCTGACTTCCACAGCCATAAATACAACCTCACCATCTGAGGGAAGGGTGGCGTCCGCCATCGTTTGGACACAGGGTGACTTGGGCAACACTTGGGCAACACAACGGAGCGGGCGAAGCGGACGGAGATTCGGGAGAGGAGATGAGATGAGATGAGATGCGTGTCTTCTTGCTCCTTGCGCTGTGAATCCATGTTTTTCAAGGGATGGCGTAACGGGGCGCAGTGGAAGTTTACACTCCAAATAACCTTCACACAAAACGAATGGGTTCGGAGAGGAGAGAAACAGAAACTCGATGAATGAGCCTGGATCCGAATTCAGGCCCACCAGCTGAGGTGAACACCCAAGGTGACACTGAAAAGGAGATCCGGATTTGTATACCTATACACATTCCATGTATGAAGTCTACATTGTATTGAACCCTGGCAACCATGGCATAGATATACATGGAGTGTCTTGGGATAGGACGTCCACCATCTTCAGAAATCCTCGCGGCTCGGTGTCCTGCTGAGCTTCTGGCCGGACCAGGATGAGGCAATGCAGTTGAGCACGATCTTCCTTCCAAAAGGCGCAGGCACCTGAGCTGCGCAGCTGGAGAGAACACACAAAAAACACATTGGCTGGCTCAACAACTCACCACCGTCTTCTTTTCAATTCTCTGTTCAGCACCAAGCGGATGCAAGAAATCCAAATGTACTGGGCCAAAAGTGGTGAAGGTTCTTGCAGATTCTTGTAGGACAAATACCTCCCTCGAGATTGGAAAGAACTTCTTGGCCAGAAGCCCTTGCACCCCATAGCCATAGCCCATAGCCGCCTACCACTTACAATTCACTAACTTGCACCCCTGAAAACTAACATGGACCCTGAGAATGGGACCCTCTACAAACCAGTGTTTTTCAGGGCGAATGTTAGTTTTCCACGAAGAACCACTCATGGATTGACATTTGCATGATATTTGCCTATGCGGTCTTCCAACTCAAACACTTTGGATGCGACAACATGGCCCTTGCAAATGGTGAAACACAGTGAATCATTGCCCCCCTAAAAATCATAGTACTGTATTGTACTGCTTGAGACTCCAAGAATTCCCTTTTCTCTCCCTTTTGAGCTCAATCTTTAAGCCTCCGTATTAGAAGGAGTAGGGCTGCCCAGGCCCGTTGTTTTGGAACGTTGTTACGTATGTCCTACGTCCTACGTCGTTCCATTCTGAAAAAAATTCGACGCGTTCATCAAATGAATTCACGCTACTGTACACCCTGCGTCTCAGGCACTATCTCCGCGCTTGGGATAGTCACGGCGCATCTTCTGGTGCCAGGACAGGCTGTCCTCGTTCTCGCACAGGAAGTCGTCCATCACCTATGTTGACAACCGCACCAAAGGTAAGGACTGCGTGTGGTGCAGGTTGGGTCTCACCGGCTGAGCGCTTTGCAAGCAATTCTTGCGTTGGCATGATGACATCCATCTCCTTTGGCATGATTGCCATGGGTCATTGGATCATTCACTAGTGGATTCTTTGCTGGATCCTTCTTCCACCTCTCACTTTGGCCACCTGCACTCCGCCACCCTGCCTGGTTCGCCATGTCCCCAAAGAGCACCGCCATACGCCGCAGCAGGGACCAGGAGCTCTTCGCTGTGACACGGGCTTCGCCCGGAGCCAAGAGCTCCACGGACTGCAGTTCTAAACCTGAGCGGGTCTGGATCTTGGACTCAAATGCCCTATAGGGATCCAGTCGTACCTTCTCAGACATGGGACAAGATGTCTTGGACTCAAATGGGAATATAGATATGAATAGATAGATGTCTGAACGATGGTCTTAGTGGGTCTTGGAATTAGGGAGTGGGGTCTTTGACTCAGATGCAAAGGTGAACGGTGAACTCGATACCGACTGCCACTCCGACACAGAGTCTCGTCTTGCAGGGAGGTGGAGGAAGTGGGATCACGGCACTTTCTCACTATCAAGGTGTCTTGCTCATTGGAATAGGAAGGGTTTTCAAGAGGAGCCTATATGACATGCATGACCTCCATAGGAAGGCCATGAGTTTAAAACCCGAGCCTATAGGACGCGAGCCGGGTGTCTAAATGGAATGGCTTCGGTCGTTGCCGAATTGGCCGCTCCCTGGCAGGGTCCATTTGTGTGGGCGACTCTCCGTCTGTTGAAGAACCGACGAAGATTTGGAGGACTTCTAACTTCTAACAATTTCCAATGCCCACGCGAACTATGGAAATACATGGAAATGCCCACAATTGGTTAGCATAGATCCTTCCGTTCCCCAACATGCCATTGGTGCATTCATTGATGTCTTTATCATATGTACCCTTCATAACAAGTTTAGCGTATCTACTACGCGGCTGCCACGGACTCCGCCGTGCAACAGGAAAATAGGCTATCCATTATCCACTACTCCGGGCGGGATTTCTTCAGACCGGCCTAAAGGTCTACCTCGCTCTTCAACAAATAGTTAAGCCCTCCAAACCCATACCACACACTTTCACACGGGTATCTTGTTGGGGATTCCCGGGGCAACTATAGCCAGTCAGTTTTCGCATGTCATCCGACTGAAGCAGGATCAAAGGCTCTGGAATTCCGGCTTCGTAAATGTTCCACGGCAGGTCTCAAGGGCCCAACTTATCCTTCTGGAACAGCAGTTGGTCTTCCTTCCCTGTCCGGGTTCTGTCCAGGGCGTCCACGCCTGTGCTCTGTTTCATTCCTCTGCATGGTCCTAATGATTTTTGGGACAGTGCCGATCAAGGATGCTACATGCTGATCATGCCCAGCACCCTCTGGAAAGCCGACCCATGAGAAACCCCCCCAACCCCCGCACCCCTCCAAACAGGACCTCCGCCACCGCTATTCCACCGGACGTACGGCAGACCACGTCGGGAGGCCCTCCACAGGGCTCAAGTCTTGAAGCAAAGAGCGCACCTCTGGCCTGGCAGGCTGCGAGGCCTCTAGCCTTTGATCGAAGCTGACTGGAGTCCCTGGAGTCTGCCCGCCACTAGGCTGATTCAGGAGGAACAGGACTTAGGGATCGGAGCAAGGAAGGGTGCCTTTTTCTCCACTCAGAAGGTCAGTAAGGTGTATCTTGGCCACTCCGTGATGGAGTTCCAGCTTGTTCCAGCCCTCCAGCTTTGAAGATGCCTGCCTTTGATAAGGAATTTTTGCCTTTTCCAGCCAGTCCAAGCAATCCATTTCTTGCCGAAAGAGCTTTTACCTATTTCGACTCCTGTCGACTCTGCAGGCTTGGACGCTGCCTGACTCCGTTCCTGGGCAGCGTCCAAACGCGTGAGTCGGCAACTCCTTCGGTCTGGAAGTGTGGGAAACAATACCAAATTGAGCAAAACCATATAATATTCGTGTTGCTAGGGTATAAACCTATTCGTTGGTTATATAATACTGTGGTGGTTTTTGGATTACTGTTTTGATACTACAATAATCACCACCACATCAAGACCAAACCGAATCCAAATGAACAGTACTGTTACAGTATACCCGATCAGAATGATGTAAACGAATCCTAGACTTAAAAATTCCTCATTCCTCAATTCCACTGCACCGCCGTACCTCACCAACACCTGGCTGGTCTTCGCAGGTGCGTCCTGGACGGACAAGGGAGGGCGTTGTTTGCTGAGAAGCCAGTCATTTCACACGACCCTCCGAAGGGCGTATTCCTCTACCAGCCAGTTTTCAGGGTCCATGTGGTGCGCAGCGGGAGGTCCAGGTGTGTGAATGTTCGCTTGGTGAAGAAAAGATGTTCCTTGCAACAAACATGGACTCGGACACATCAGAGTGACCGTCTCCAAAAGTGGCCTGACAAGGTATCTCAAAAGGTCAACTTTGAAGGACAAGGTCTGGGGATACCTCGTTCAACACTTGCCCCAAAGGATGTTGTTGCTTGGTCTCCCTCTCTCGAAAACATTTCTCATGTTCTTGGTCGCATTATGTCGTATTTTGTATCTCCAAACAAACTGACATAGCACACAGTTTCTTCGTGCCCCAAGAAATTCCGGAGAGTAACGCACCGAGTCCCCCACACATGTTTGCACTGTTCATGAACAGAATCCCACATCTCCATAGAAATTTGTACGGATCCCGGCTAGCCCATCTGCAGGACAATGGTTTTCTAGATTTCTTGCCATATCAGCGCATGATCTTGTCCACGAAACATGGGGTGTAGGCTTCCTGTGATGATGGGGCCTTAAGACTAGCCGACTAGCCTTAATTAAGCTATGAGCACGCTCAGTCACGTTTAGAGATTTGGCCATCTCAGCTGATTTCTGGCTGTCAATGAAACATGACACCAAAAACACCATCTACGACCCAGTCACGTCCCTGGACGAGACGTGCCGAACATCCCTTGGATGGCACCCATCGCCCACCCATCGGCCATCCTGGATGGTGATGTTCTTCAGCTCGAGCTTGATCACGTGACCTCCCCAGGCACATCTGCTGTGCATCAAGGCACCTTCGGGGGTGTCCACCGCACAGATCCAGCCACTCTCCTGGCGAAAGAGGAGAGGACAGGACGGTCTCCGTGTTCAGTATACGACGGACGCATCGCGGAGCTGCCCGGCGGAAGTGGTAGGGCGGAGCGAAAATCAAAAAGAGAGAGAGAGAGAGAGCAAAGTGGGTGGCGAGATGTGGATGTTGTTGGCCGTTGTTGGCTGATTTCAGGATTTGGTGGGGTGACAGCGTGGGGCTTTGAGAAGACCGTCAAAAAGGTTTTTTCTCGGGTGGAGGTTCTGGTCTCTTCTACCTTCTCCAAGAACGACATGGAACTCCAGTTCTGATGGATTCCAAGGTTGTCATTGGGCATTTATATGTGCGACCGGTCTTGCTTTGAGCCGTGCCTGACGTGTCATCCTGTCGGAACCTATGATGACGCTGGGTGATTGGTGCCGTGCCTCACGCGGAACCTGCGTTCATGCATTCGGTGCTTTTCGAACGGTGTTCGAGCGCTTGGAGCTTCGAAGAAGTGTCAAAGGCACATTTCTCAACATCGCCTTCAAAAGCTGGTGATCGATACAAATCATGCATGTATAAACTATATACCTTGCAAAGAACTACTTAATTAAGTTCAACCTTCTTGCCTAATGAATTATGTCCCGGGACTGCAACTTTAAGATCTTTAAGCATTTCAGTCAGGGTTCTGACTCGGCCTAATTTGTTCTGTTCTGGGTTCGCTCTTGCTTCCCTGGGTGGCGCAAAAAACATAAAAAAACCTCCAGAACTCTCTTCTTCGAATGACCCGTGTCCTCCAGTAGATTCGGCATCAACTTGCACCAGTCTTCCACCGATTCGGGGCGTGGTGCCATGGCCCTCCACACTTCTGGCGTACCCACTGGAGGAGGCCCTAAACGGCCAAAGCTGCAGCCGAACACGCACCGAACACGCGCTGAACACTGCCGAATCCAGAGCTTTGGGACTGAGGTCTTTCCAGCAAGGGGAAGGAGTGGTTCCATTTGTGCAGCGTATGAATTGTTGTGTCTTGTTGATTTTTATCAAGTCTTGCCAGCTGTTTTGGAGGTCTGCAAAAACACCCATGCATGCAACAACGTTTTTTCCGCAAATAAAGGTGAGAGACCGGATCATCCCTCTTGCGGTGCAAGAAGAAGCTCTCAACCTGGAGAATGCCCATAACCATCGACAGGTGGGAGGGGATTGTGGTGCCGGTGTTGTGGGATGAGAAGAACTCGTAGTCTTCATGGAGGATGTTGATTAAGGTAACATATGAAGAGGATTTACAAACGAATGGGGAGTCTGTTTCATCATTCGACATGAAAGAGGATTTGGATGGTTGAAGGACAAAATTTTTCGTCAAAAGGCTTGGATGTCGCATGTGGTGTGGGAGCGTGTCGGCATGTCGCAGGATAAATTCGAGTTTGTTCCTGATCCGCTGGGCCTGTGGAAAGCGACCTGGCTACACGGCGAAGATTTTAAAGCAGGTTAAACAATGTAAGCATCCACTTCTACGAATTGCTGTCCAACACCACCTCCGTCTCCAAAAGAAACCCCTCTCCGTTGCATCGATCCTAAACATTCGAATGATTTCCCATTGGGGAGCCCTGTAAGCAGCGCCATGTTTGTTTACATGGACCCCTTTGAACCACTCCAACTGTTCGGGATCGCCACTCCAGTCGCGTCCGCCTCGCGTGGTGCCGCGCAGGAGGACACGAAGCGGCTCCGAGCGACCAAGCCTCGATATGCGGCACCGAGGATGGAACGCCCGCAGCGGTGGAATCATCATCCGACGTGCCGGTGGATTGGCGGGAGCGCAAGAAAACACAGGAGGCAAAAAAATACGTGTGACATATACACTGCGCACTTTCGCCTGAAAGTGCTCAGCTCTTTTTGAGGTGTTGTTCTCACGGCCAGGGCGATTTACGCCAGTGCGCAAGTCATGCCCCGTTATGAGCCATGGGTGCCAGTCCATCGCACGCCCCTGGGCGTGAACTTAGAGTGCGCGCAAAATATTCGCGCAGTTCTGGCTCAATCATCCAGAGGGCTTGCCAGGTAAAGAGTGCCAATGATTTTCACAAAGCACTTGCGGACGCGTGGACGCAACACTTGGAAGCCATCATTGCTTTAAGGGCTGGGGAACCACATGGAGCCAAAGTAGAATCCATTCAACTTGGCCACGCTTGCAACCGCCATTCCCATCCATTCCCTGCCATTCTTTTGGTGCCACTTTGTTCATGCTCATGGTCTGGCACCTGTCAACGTTACCATCAGGATGCCGTTCATCCACGCACCACGTACTTCGGCCGGGCCACCCAGAAGAACACCTTTCACAGGATCGGCTTGGCCGCTGTCTGTTTAAGAAAATGCCGCGGCGGACTCCACTGGTCTTTATGAAATGTCCACGTATGTGCTTGGAGCTCCCAGCTCTGCACTGGAGACGGCAACTGTCATCAAGTTGAGGCTACATGTAGCATTTAATCAATGGTGATTGAAGTAGAGAGTTTTCAGGGCTCATCGTGTAAAGAGTGCAGTGTGCTTTCCACAAGGACCTTGCGGGATCAAACTAGACTTGACCTACTGTGATTGATTGCAAGGGCACAAGTCCTGAAGGGCAGAGTTTTAGACATGATTTCTGTGTGCACAAATCAGTGGTTGGTCAAAACAACGAGACCTCTTCTTTCAGTAAAACAGTTGGGATCAACCACCTCGTTAACATATGCGGCTCAAAGACCTCTATGGGAACGACCAGAACAGGCCTTTCAACTTTCAAGTCTTCCCCTGTGAAGTTCATTCGTGGCTTGAAGCGGTCGTTGGCGCAACAGAAATGCCTTGCTGAAGGTCCTCATGAATTCGCATTTTGGTGGTCCCATTTGGTGGTCCCCATTTCTTCAGGACCAAACTCGTGCCGAACATCGACCCGCGCGGCGTTTTTTGGGGACACCCACGTGCCCGTGCGGTGGTTGGAGGCCGCCAGACCGCCACCCCCAAATCCAAAACACTCCTCCGGTCCTCCTACTGTATCCAACCCCAGACTCTGAGGCTGTCATCGTGTCTGGCCAGGTAGGCCAGGTAGGCCGGTGCCACGGCTGTTCATGATCTCCAGTGGGGGAGCAGGTTCAAGCCTTGTCCACTCTCCAACCTCATGTAGATTCTTGATGAACAATCCCCCCCCGATTCTTGGACAATTCTTAGGGGGCCATGGTATGAAAAGGGATTTCCAATTCAATTGGGGTGGTCTATTCATTCAAGAGTCTACATTACCCTCCGGCCCGGAATATGATCAACCCTGCACCACTGCAGTAAGCTTAGACAACAAAACAAACATAATTGCTTCGGTTTGGAGCAGAATGCTGCCTGATCCGAGATGACAACCAAAAAACACATGTGGTTGGCCCCTGCCTATATCAACTTCAACCTATATAGCCATCAAAAGCCTTCTCGCCGGTGTCTTTCAAAGCGGGGGTCAGAGTATTACTGGTAGGCCAACATGACGATGACGATCACAACCTCAGGATCCGCACCCCAATTTAATGATGCCAATCCTCTTAACAATGCTGCGGTGATGACAATAATCTATCGGTAACGAACCATCTCCCGCCCCCCCAGCAATCGCCATAATTTAATTGCACGACACTTAATGACAATCTGTTGAAACAGAAATGTGCAACACACGAAGACGTTGTGAGATTGGTGAGAAGAAATGAGTGAGCTAGAGAAAGGCCAGGAGCCCCTAGTAGCTCCTTGCTCCTAGTAGTAAGGTCAATGTTGCAGGGATGCAAGAATGCTATGATCAAAACTAATCCCCCAGCAGCACGAATGCTACAATCTCGTTCAAAGCCAAGTGTTGATTCCACATGGGTGAAGAGGGTTGTCCAAGATAGATTTACATGACCGGATGAGGGGTTTGTCTGCCTCATAAAGGCATCCTAGGCCCCTAGGTGGTTGCAGTGTCCAACCCTGAAGCTAAGACAGGTTCTACCGACGGCTCACGTGGGCGTCACCTCTACGAATTCATATCCGGCGACGGTCGAGGACGATGTCACGACGATGATCATCATGGTTATAGTTCTCAAGCTGAGTCAAGAAAGGCGTGAGAAGGATTTGATGGATGATCATCCACTGATGAGAATTACGGTAATCTTATAGTGACTTCATACTTCATCCTTAGTCAAACGAACTAAGGAAAATCAATCAAGGCCTGAAGTTGCAGCAAATCTCACGATGTGACTCAGTGAAGGCCGTTTTCAATACTCCAAGAGAAACATAAAAATATAAACTATCAAACAAAATCAGAACAAGAAGAGCTGCTAACTTCCGGAAACAGAACAGCTAACATCTTAAATTCCTGGCTCCCCACATGTCTGATAACTGTTCAAATCCAGGTTTGGGGACAAAACATGACACAACACCGACAAATCCTGCAATTGAAACATATCTTCTTCCAAAACCTCAAATACCTTTAAAACATGTTGGAAAATGGGTCCAGGCTCCGAACTGACTACTTGGGCCTGCCCGACCTGCTCGACCTATCCCAGCCAAATCGCCCAAATGGACGGGCCTGCGTGCTTGAGCTGGCGCCAAATCTCGCCATACACTGCCTGGATCTGGACGGCTCTTGGTATATGGGACTTCGAATGTTCGCGGAAGGGCTGATCCATTTTTCCCAGCCTGACCTCCTCAGTTTCCCTGGGATTAGCCTGTTTCCGAGCTCCCCCGCGATCCGAGACTTCACGTGTAAACGTGCCGTTGAAGCCGCGATCGGCTCGAAGTGCCGGGGGCAGGAGATCAACTCACCCACAAAGGGCACTGAACTTCTTCGAGAGGACCACGCACGGTCGCGCACGCGTTTGCTTTGCTCGGGGAGAAGACCCCGGAGCGAGGTAAGGCGGTTCAGGCGGTTCGGCGGAAGCCGCCAGTCTCATGAGACGGTGTTGTGTCGATGTGCCCAATGAACTTTGGAAATTGAATCAGTGATAGACCCCTCCCACTGAATGCCAAATCATCAACACACTACCCGAGTGTCCTGCTTGAGAGTCCAATAGTTGCTGAACAAAACCCTTGCATTGCCTGATCACCAGAATAGGTCAATGCACCTATTCCAAACACTCCAAGTATGGGATAGTCATATTGACCCCATTTATACCCTAGGGCCCTAGGGCTCCTGGCCCACCTCCTGAGAAGATGGGCCAGTCACCTGAGGAGATGGGGCAGGAGCCCTAGGGATAACCCATGCCATGTTGGCCACCTTGAGTAGCATCCTATCTGGGCAGTGGCGCCATCACCCCTTGTGGCCCCCGCATCAACATAGGTATAACGATTCCAGTCCGGATGGAAGGAATGGGCCTGTCTCGTGCCGTGCGCAGCGTTCTGTCCGCACCTGCGGCTTTCCCAAACACATGGCATTCACATGCAGGAAGATGAACTTCCTGGCACGGGTCACGTCGTTGAGCGACCGGATGAAGACCATGAGAAAGCCGATTCGTGGCATCGGGATTGGCATATGGTGTGCAAGGAAAGCACAAGTTCCTGGCATATTCTAATGTAACCCATTTACAAACCATATGTAGGCGAATCTGCTTTGCTTGACGCCCATAGATACAGGCAGGTCGTTTCGCAACCGCACACATACACAAACACACAGAGTTTACGGGTGATGTGCTTCGAGGAAAAATGAACACTTCTCCTGCAACGCTTTGGTGGGGGTGTCTAAGTGCCTTGGAACGGTAGGGCGATGGCTGCCTCATACTAACCCTTCCCGCCCAGGAAAACAGGTCCGGACGGAGCTGCTACACCCATGTTCACTTGGACTCGTTGACCCCATGTTTGGGTGCTTGTTTTCAACATGAACGAAGTGCCTGGACCGCCTTTGACATATAATATGACAGAAAAGTCAACCACCCAAACGCTTGATGCATGTGATTGCATGGCGTACATTCATCTCTATTGCCGATTGTATTATAAACTATAAAGCTACATCTGGGGGAGCCCTGGTCCACCATGTAGCCTGACCTTCCAGGTAGCCAAGGTATCCTCGTCTTGACCCACAGCCATATCCCGGAACCCTATATTGGTCAATCTGCCAGCCCCATGGAGCGTGTGACTTGGGATGTATCCAATTCTCTTCCGAGGAGGTCGCATGGCACCCCAAGATGTCGTATAGATGGGCCATGCCGGCCATCTAGTCTCCATCCACCACTATAATGATTTCCTTTTATGCATGGGTGTTCTGGACCATGATTTGACGCCAAGTCACCCTGCACATGTCATGTGCGCCACTGGCTTGGAGGTCTTGACCCATATGGCCGGCTGTCAAAACTCCTTCCCCAAAGTCTTCTCCCATTTGCTCCTACCAACACCATCCATGCTGGCCAGCTCATGCTGCGCCGTCCCAGCTCACATTCCTTTTCAGAGAAGTGAACGGAAAATCACCAACTCCTGAACCACTTCTTGACCCCAACTGGCCCAACTCCTCATCCCTCCACCTTCACACATGGTCCCCTCCTTTCCCACCTCCGCAGGTCGTGCTGTTGAGCCAGCGCGCGGATGCTGTGCAGGACGGAGGCCGTCTTCCCGGTGCCTGGCATCCCAGAGACGTAGAGCACCTCGGGGACATGGCGTCCGTCTTGACACGACGGCGAAGGTTGGTTGACATCTGGGTCATGTGAATGGTGTGGAAAACAAGAATGAGATGGGAAGGTTGTGAGGTGGAAGATGAAACGTATCACATGATACATGTACATGCGCGTGATGCCGTCAACGGCAACATGTTCACCAAGTGTTGGAGTCGTGTTTGAGGGTTTTGCCTTGCCTTTACTGGCTGTGGGAATGGACACCGTCGCTTTTTTGGTTGGGCAACCAGCATTCCACGACTTTGATTATCCAGCGAACCAAAGTGGGTTGGCCTAAATACATGTACACAGTCTATAGCTCTTCAGAGGCACACTCAAGAGGCACACTGGAGGGGCTCTTAGGCTCATTCTCAGTCTGTTCTTGCTGTTCGGGAAGTCGTGCAGCATGTGCCAATGTCCAAAAAACAATACCTGTATATAGATCTATTGTGAATAACCATCAACAGGTGCACAGCCTGCCAAGAAGTTTCCTTGGCTTCACGCTCCCCATTGCCAGCAACAAAAAGATTAAGGGCCTCCACGTGCTTGGCGACTGTTTGAATCATTTGACAACTAAAAGCCCCCCCAAAAATATGATAAACATGCATACCTAGAACCTCGTTAGGCAATAATTTTCGCCCAACGCCATTTAGGCAGAAAATTCAGCCCGTTTTTGCAAAGAACGCCTAAGCTGCAGCCTCGAGGGTCAAAAACGCCACGCCGAGGCACAATCACATGCATTCTTACATGCAAAAAACAACAACACAGAATTTGAATGACAAAAATTGAGAAAACAAACGCCTGCCACTTGACGCTAATCCCCAGTCTAAAGTTGTTGAAATTCATGTCGCTCACTCCCCCCAAAAGGCTACCATTCCGTTGTCCACCCAACTACTGATTGTAGTGAGGGGGGGAACGGGCAAGAACGCCTAAGTGACGGGAAGAACACAAAAAGATATTAAAGCAATGAATCAAAGCATAGAACAACTAAAAACATACAAAAGAGATCACAAGAGAAACATTAAGTTAATTCCTGAACCTGTACCATCCTTTATCAACAAAGTCTATATAACTTCCTCACAACCCAACATTGGATGGATGTCCCCAAACCATGCACCGTTCCATTCCGTGGTTCCCCACGGAATGACAAACAGCCAGCCAAATGGTCAAGCACCAGTCTCATCTCGGAATCCAAATCCAGGTCTGGCACTTCAACGCTCCGGGATTTGGGAGCCGACTTGGGGGTCCGGCCATGACAGCCGAGGCGGGGCGACTGCGCGTCGCGAAGCGCGAACGACGCCCCCGGCCGCCGTGCCTTCTTGGAGCCCTTCGTGCGGATGGCCGAGCACAAGTGTGCAAACAACTGCACGTGGAGTTTTTCCGTGGCGTCTGTGGAGGAGTGGAGTGGCGTCAAGTTGGCACATGAGTCACTCTTAAGAGGACATAATGATGCTCCGAAATGAGATGCAGTCGACCTGCAATTGTAGGGTTCAGGGTTTCCACCGGTAGAGGTGCAAGAAAAGCCCGCGACTTAGGGCCTGACCCACAGCACAAAACAAGTCATGACAACCAATACGTATAGCCAAAAGTAGCTCATATATATATATATATATCATCATATGCAGTTCCAAATTCACAGGTTCCATATGGTTCCATGGTGTTCTATCTGTTGCATCCGTTTGGCGCAGCATCCGATTTTGAGATGACCTCCCATTCCGGCGGACGTCGTGTCTGAAGCTCATGGACACTTCTGCCTGGCTCTGCTGCTCCTGTCTGCAGGGCATAGGTCCCGACATGCTCGGGGTCATGGCGCTGGCCGCCCGAACGAAGAGCCCCGCTGCGGGTGCAGAAGATGGCGCAAGTGGCCTCAGGAAGATGGTGCAGAGTTGAGTGTTGACCGAAAACCAGAAAGCAACGGAGCTATAGCCAAGCGTTGAAGTGTTATCAAGGGCCCCTCTCAATCATATATGAATACTGAATTGGCTCAATATGGCTCACTCACTGTCATACAAACATAGAAAAAAAGTATCGGGATCCCAATTTCATATGCGCCACCAGCAGCAGCCCATCATGGGCGTTTCCGCCCATAGGGTCCAAAGACAAGCAGCTGGTCATGCTCTGCTAACTCCCTGTGCTCCACCTGCAAGAAGCTGGCTTTGGGAAGGTAGTGACAAGGTGGTTGGTGTGTGTGTGTGTGTGCGGTGCACATTTAGAGGGCTAATACACTTACACACGGCTCATGCTGTATACTAAAGGCTGCACCAACTGAAATCCGACCGAATCGAGCTCTTTCCGAGCATCTTCCCCAGACACCTCCATGTATGACATATCTACCGACATTGTCCATTGCAGGGGTTCAATGGGTTATCTATACATAGAAGTAGGCATCTACTAAGGCATCTATGCCAGTGATTCCTGCGTTTGGTGCTTCCAGACCTCCCAAAGTTCCGGCATCTTTCGCCGGCACCGCCGGAGCCGCCTCGGTAGCGGGGAAAAGGTGCGACAAAAAAAGAGACGGTGGGTCCTGAACAAAGGTGGGTTTTCCGTGGAAACAACGAACACCTCAAATGATTGCGAGTAATAATTGTCCAAGGATGAGGATCTCCATGGGTATCCTCTACACTCCCCGAAACGAACATGGAAGTGGACAACAACCCCCCTGTTTCTAAAAATAGTATTCCACGAGGCCATTGTCCACTTCCATGCTTGTTTGGGGGAGGGTCATCAAGAATTTTGAGTGTGGAGAGCCCATCGTCATCTGGATGAGCAAAAACAACAAGTACAAGTAGAGGCGCCTCATGGGGCTGTAGTATGACAATTTGCAGGGTTGACTAGCCCGAACACCCTGAAGTGGCCCTGAACAACACTTGAACGCATTCATGGGCATTCCGCATGTCTACTAGACAAAACTGGGGATGAGTTGCATATATATATATATATATGGAAAACAATGCCTCCATATGCCTTCCTTCTGACCCCTCCAAAATAAGTAGCTGCGCTCGACAGAGCACACGCTCAAATCCAAATGAGTTGCTAGATATTGCTAGCGGCCCCCACCGAAGCACAAACCATCAAACAGGGGCAAAATTCCTCGGACTTCAAGGCAGCATGGGCCAATGGGTCTCATTCAAAGAAGATCCATTCCAAAGGAGCTGATGGATTCAAGCAGCGGGTCGCTTCTGCCTGGATTCAGATAAGCATTGTGCCTGCTTTGACACCTGGTTCGGCTTGCTGAGCCAATGCTTGTGGACGTAGCTCCTGGATGATCCACAAGTAGGGACGACCAAATGGAAACTGCTAGGCCAGCAACCCATCCCTAGCTGCGCCAAGCCGAACATGTGAAGCTCCCATCGACATGTCATCCGAGAATTTTATGTTTATCTCCGTCACTCAAAGGACTCATTTGTGCAGCTGAACCTGCTGCCAATCTGAAACCCACAATTTCTTCAATGACCAGGTTAGGGCACGTGGGGGATGCGAGCGCCCAGGAAGCACATTTGTAAAGGCATCAGTACATGCCCATCGCAATGGTCATCTGGCAGGCCAAACCACACACCGAGGCACGTTTCGGTGGCTGGTGCCTCGCATGAGCAGGTGAGCAGGGCTAACTGCGTGTGTTCCACACAGATCTGTGCAATGTAGAATCCTAACCCCTTCTTTGGGGCAAGGTCTTGAAATTGGAGTGGCCCTTGTTCAGCTTGACGCGGAAAGAAATGGCAGCTATGTTGGCTGCTGGGAGCCTCTACCAAGGTGCTGCCAGCACCTGCGAAAACCTGAGCTCTTCCCCACAGGTCAGGGATCTCCAAACTAACTCCAGCAACAAAGAATCTCTACCACCTCACTCTGCTTGGAGTTCAACATAAATGGATCCTCTACGGGGAGTTGTTCAAGCTAGTTCAAGCTTTTGGGCTTCAACATGTGTACATGTTCTAGTGAAAGCTGCTTGTAGTTGACTCTCAAAAGTTATTTTCCAGCTGGCTGCATTTATGTACACCATCAAGCCCATGTCCCTGTTCAATGACGGTGTCCAATGAGTATACTTCATCATAGTCATGTAAATCTGATCAAGCCCATGTCCATTTTAACAATGATGACATATAACTGACTGGTGCGACTCGTAGGGAATAAGTGAATGAACCCCCAATAGAGATTCTATTGCATCCAGCCACCCTCATTCCCTGATTTCGCACCAGTCAGGTAATAGATCTGTTGACCATATATATATATATATACCCTAGGGCTCCAACCATATCCTCAGGTTCGGTGGTTAGACCCCCCTGGCACCCACCCCAACCATCTTCTCAGGAGGTGGGCCAGGAGCCCTACAAAGAGGTGCGAGGTGGCGTGCATGTTCGGCCTAGTGCCCGGCCTGGCGCAACGGATCCGGCATCTTTCGCCGTATGCGCCGCTGCATGGCGAGTAGTGCTGGTATGGGCCTGAGGCAAGGCCAGCACATGAGTGTCAAATACAGTGTCAAACAAATGAGAGGACTCACTGTGCATACAACATATATATATATATATATATCGATTTTACGTACCCCTATGTATGCCATATTGCCCGCAGTAGAGACACGTACTATCACGTGCTTAATTAGTTCCCCATCAGTGGTGGTTGCCCAGGGTTTTGCCCGGAAGGAAATCCCGGCAGCTTCGCTCTAAAAACGGTCCTTGCTTGGCCTTTGGGGAGGCCCTTCCGGATCCAACATCATTTTGGAGTATCTTTCTTCCTGTTCTTTTGTCTTTGCTTCTACCCTCCCTGGAACTAACATGGAAGTGCAAAACCACCTGTTTGTAGTGGACATTGGTCTTCCTTTCGGGGCCATGCCATGCACTTCCATGCGATGTGTTCGTCAGAGTGTATTTGCGGTGGGTGGCCTCCAACCTAATAGATGGCCTCCAACCTACTAGCGGTTGCCAAGTCCATGTTGTTACGATGAGCCGCCCGGAGCACACCCGTTTTTTCTGGCGGAGCTGAGACGTTCACCAGCGAGGTCCGTTCTCCAGCGTGTTCGCGCGGATGACTGGAAAACGGACCTCGCCGGGAAAGAACAGAAGCAATGACTGCCGGCATGGCCGCCAGTCATTCGTCAATGTAAGTGATATCAAACTCATATCAAACTCGTCTAGATGTTTGGCCCTTTTCGAAGGATTTGGAGTAGTTCTGCGAACATGGCTCGTCTGGGGCTTGTGTCCATCCAAAAATCAGGGTCTTTTCACCCAAGCCCTGCCGCCCTGCCGTACTAAGCCAAGCGCTGCCGTACTATGTGTGGCTCCGGCCCGTCCTGAGCGGGACGGATACCGGGCCGTTATCTGCTTCTCATCTGGTCAAAACGGCGTCCTAACATGCTATAACCACTCGGAGTAGTCCTAGCAGGTTTGACCTGGTTAGATTGGCAACAATGGCCACACAAAGAATCGTTCAGTGATCAGCTTTGGGCCCCTATTCAAATCACTTCATCCGGTTGGTAAATGGATGCCAGGGAGCATTCTGGAATTGATGTTGTGAATCAAACAACGCCAAACACAAACTGGAGAACAATGCAAAAACATCCAAAACAAATGCTGGTCTCTGGAGAACCCCGATTCAACCTCAGCTGGCGCTGGCCTTCACAAGCAGCCCGGCACAAAGGTGGCAGAAAAGTCATGTTGACAGTCGATGAATGAAGCACCTAATATGCTCCTCCTGGAATCGTGCAAGTGGACAATGCTATCTTGGGTGACCATGTTCCTCTACAAACATGTGGTTATTCAATTCCATGATCATTCGATAGCAACACCCCCTTTGGTTCAATGCCCCAAGCCACGCATCGCTCCAGCGCTCCTTCACACCCGTTCCGAAGCCATCCTGAAGCCCCGGCCTTTTGGTGCGGGTCTCGCATCTTTCCACGGATGCGCCTCACCAAAAGAGTTCACATCACGTCAGATATAATAGCTGAGTTAGAGAGTGTCTGATCAGACTTGAAGGTAGTTAGACCCTGACAACCACCTGAAAGTGATGGAGAATTCCCCTCAGGCCGCTGCGGAGCTCTTGAAAACCCGATTTGGGATGGACTGGGGAATAATCGAAACCCAGCAGAACCATATAGGGGACGGGTTGCGATCCACCTGGAACCCGACCAGTCTACCATGAGACGCGAGCGACTGTTCCACCAGGTCAAGCAAGGTATCCTTGTGTCATGACTGTGATTCTTAGTTGTTTTTTTTAAATGTGTTATCCCTCCTATGATGCTCTAAGAATTGGCTGGGTGCAGTTATGCTGCTTGGTTTTGGCTTTTCTGAAGCCGCCCACTGGAAATCCACGGCAGGTCTCTGAGAGACCTGCTAAGCCCAGCCTCGAAGCCTCATGATGGCCGCCTGCACTAGCCGACACGAGCAGTCTGGCTATGCCAGTGGAGATGGGACGAGTCAAGTGGAATAAATCAGTGGAACACATCGGAAGAAACATGCAATAGATCGCCTAGGATGCAAAGCAGTTTAACACACATGTGTAACACACACAGCAACTTCCAGCGATCGAAATCACAATACTGACACCCCCAGTTTCCCGGGAATAGTTGAATCAAAGGTGGACCTTCTTCCAACTATTCTTGCTTATTGGGGCAACCAAGTTCCAAGTTAAAGGTATCCATGGTTATGCACTGACTGGGTAGGAATACAACATCGCCAAGAAAAGGCAGCTCAGCTGTTGCATCAGCATGCCACTACCAGTCCATCACCGCTCCACGGAGCCGCTGTTGTCGGCGTCAACAGTGGTGTACCACGGCTAGTGAGCAGCGGCAATTCCCGCGCTGAAGAGGAAGCTAATCACATGTGATGTCCAAACCGGGAGCCCCCAACCTGGCTACCTTGACCTCCCAGGTAGTCAACTCATATTCCGTGGTCAACTAGGGTGCCCCGGTTTTGACCCACAGCCACATGTACACAAGGTGCTACACTCCACGCGCCGTGCACGTTCACGGCTTTTCACACGTGATTTTGTGGAATGTGGGCCACGGGGTCTTGTGACCGCTGCAGGCTACTCTGCTGATCTCTGCTGCCGACACCCACCCACAGGGTGCATGCAGAATCATAGGACGAGATAGGAGATGACATAGGCAAGCTACAACTATGCCAGCTACAGATAGTTGCACACACCTTTGGTTTACTTGTGTGTCTATCAATTGTTGGCCTTGGGCAATTGGGCAGGCTTGACTGGATTCACGTGGGGCGAACTGGAACAAAGAACAACTTCAGTGCATCTGTCACACCCCGTTTAACCAGAACTGGCCCGGCCTGCTGGCCACTTTCGCTTGGCCGCCATGGGCCTCAAAGGATCCGGCTCTCCGTCTCGACGGGAGGGCCATTGATAGTTACATGCCCAACCCAAATTGGGGGGGGGAAAGAAGGAAGCATGGCTTCAGAGCCATGAGCGAAAGGGAGCTGATGATCTATGTATCCGTTTTCGGTTCACTTGGTAGTTCAGTCCATGAGGCGGTTGAAGGAGGGGAGGGGGCGATCCAAAACATGTACAAAGTATATAAATAAACGATATTGTGTTATATCATACAGTATATATATGATAATTGAATTTACACATATATGCATCCATTACAAGTGAACAACATAATGTGTCTATATGTAGGCTGTGAATCATCATGAAACTTCACCAATTTGTTGGGGGGGATGACTAGACCGTGGACCATGGCCCTTTCTAAGGCTCCTTTTTCGGCCCGCTCGGTGGCTACTCCAGGTGAGTCGGGAGCTGCGCCACCGGCCGTCTCGGAGGTTCAACCAAGGTCTGGTGGGTTGAGAAGTCGGCGCCTGGAAATGGAACGCGTGAATCGCCAGCTCACACACAAGCACCTTTTCCAATTGTGTTTATTTTTTTTCTGGGTGTCAAGCGCAACATCATACCACACGGGCTTTTTGAGGTTCATCTTGCATCATGTTGTGCCTTGTAGGTGGGGCAGGCATGTTGCCAAAAAGGCTGTAAAACCCTCCCAAAGTCTGAAATAGCAAGCTGAGTGTCAAACGTGGATTAATTAATAAACCACCCGATATGAAAGTGTTTTTCAATGCAAATTGGGGGGGGACTATTGGGGGGTTAATCAAGAGTCTACATTGACCAGGTGCGGGCACCGCCACATCTTCCAACAACCCCTCTGAACCGGACACTCGTGAAGAAGCGTCATGCATCTCGCAGCTGTGCCACCGGGGTGGGGGACCTTCAATGATATGATGCTCCGCTCCATGACAAAGACAGTCAAAAGGAGTCCAGAGTTCAAAGGATTCCGAAGGGTCTTAATTCTGACAATACCACGTCCTTGTCATAAAGTCAGACTCCCATGAAACCCCAAAACGGAGATTCCCTCATTCCCTGCTCGGAGACAGCTACCGCAGCTACAGCGCCAAGTTGAAAGAGGCGCTGCAGGCAAACACGCTAAGCATCAGCGATGGATGAGGCAGGATGGACGTGCCAGGATAGTTCGACTTGAAATCTCCAAGCGAAGGAAGGAACACCAAAAATACCAACTTGACCAGTTTTTAGGATGAAGAACTGCGAAATCCCGGCCCAACCTCCGAACTCCCGGCTCAACCAACTGTGCTGACATAAAAGATCATAAAAGCTTCGAATCGGCTTTCATCGCAGCAGACGACATCAGAACGACCTCGTACTGCGACCCGAGAGGTCGTAGTGCCAGGTTAGGAGTACGCGTCAACCAACAACCATCAGCAGTTCAACGAGTTACATTGCGAGCTTACACCCCTCGCAGAGTCTGCTTGTTCACCAAGACATCCACTTCTGTCTTTGCAGCGAAATCTGAGGGTTTGGATGCCCCCATACCAACAAGGAATGAGAGCCAGCAAAGGTCTTGGCTCTATGCGTCGCCTTAGTATTGATGAATGACCCGTTCTCCCCGAACAAGGTCAATGTTCTCCCATGTTCTCTCCGTATCTAACCCGGCTCAACTGCCACCATCAGTAAGTTAGGCTGATGATGGCATAATAGACCCAAAAATGATCTCGCGCTCCATGGTCCAATGATCTGGCATTTCGGCTCTTGACTTTTTTGCTCGACCTTCCACACCTCCACAAGGGCTGCGCTGGACAATGAAAAGCCGGGCTTTCCGCCCTGCTGCAGTTGGCCAAGAAAGCTAAGCAAAAGCCTGCAGCAGGGGGCAATGAAGCATTGAAAAGGCGCAGGGCGCCAGGGTCAAAAGCAACTGCGGTGGGCCCGGTCTGGCAATGCGAACAGTGGAAGGAGCCCAATCAACACATATGGAAACATACATGTGCTAAGTTAAGCGTATTTCATCGCATGCGAACGCATTGGAAGCTGTTTAGCAGTGTTATGCAGTGTTGTTGGGCTGTTTTCAGTGGTGCTTTCTCAGCTTTGGAAGCTCCCCACACCCCCGTCGCAGGGCTTTGACCAGTCCTCACATGTCCAAGTGACACATGAGGTGTGCTGTACAACACGTGCCCGATCGTTTTCCGGGTGACGAGCCACATCTCAGCGCCGCTGGTCCGTGGTGGGTCTCCGGGCATCATGAAACCCCGTTTTTCCGGGTGTGTAACAGGACTTCTCACGTGCTGATGGGCCGCCTGGTGGGAACTCTATCAAGAACCGACGTACTTTTCAAGGACAGCAGTACCAAGTCAAAAAAAACATGGCAAAAGGCATAGCCACCAGTTCGTTTCTCAAGTCCTGGAATCTGAAGCCTGCACCTTTACATTGCCGCCTCAAAAGCTTTTGCATCTCCGAACGGATCGTGGGTCACGCGTTCGGAGAGGGAACAAAAGCCACGAAGAGCGCGACGCGTTGCACGTTGGCGGGGGGGTCTGTACAATTCGAATTACCGACCTCAAGAGTAGAGACCAATGTCATTGGGAGCGCTACTCAGTGAGGCATCTTCCAGCATTTGGCATCTTTTCACCAGGCTGGAGACGGGTTCTTTGGAGCGGAAATTGTGGATCTGGGTTGTTTCCAGCAAACGAGATGTAGGTCCACAAATCATGAGTCCAAGAGCCATGCCCACACGTAAGCCCCACCCAGGCGTCTTTGAGGCTCTTAGTCTTAGTTGGTGCCATTCAGGGGCGGTTATCGCTGGGCGGCCGGGGGGGTTCTTTGAAATCCGAAATCCGTAGTAAAGCCACTAACAATACTAAATCATTTGCCCATGCTGCAATGCTGCCTCAATATATAATTGGGCTTGACCAACATAATACTCTAATGTATTCTACTGCCAAGGTTGTATTGATATGTTAATTAGCTGCCTCTCCGGGAAAAAAAGCAAACAACTTCTGGTCCTTTCAGCTTTGTGTAGCCCAAGCCCTGCCAATTAACGTATGCTGGATTGTTCATTTCACCTGTCCCTCATCCTACGGTCCTATTGCCAATTCAACCAATCTACATATATGACCTTTTCCCCTCTGCGTTCCCAAACCTTTTGCTCAAGCTGGCTCATTGTTGGCTGATACCTTTGGCAGTTAAAGGGGTGGTTCTAACCACTTTGGGGTGCCAAACCTTCTAGACCTTCTGGGCAGGGTTCTTATATTTCGTATGTCTCATATGGCTGTGTCATCTATGTCTCATCTATGTGCCCCAGGACCTTCAAAGTGACCTTTTGAGATCCCAGAATGAGGTCACTTAGTCCCTGAAGAGGCCACTTACAGACTCCAAAGAGGCCACTTTGAAGGTCCTGGTCATTTCCAATCGTTTGTCCTCACAAAAAAAAACCTGTCGTCCCCAGATCCGCGAAACCGCGCTGCTCCGGGAAACCGTCGGTCAAAACTGGGTCGTCCTCGGGCGCCGCAACGGACGAGCGCTCATCTCGCTCATCTCTCTGTCCTCCTCCTCCTGAGCGAAGGGAGCCTTCTGACTCATGGCGAAGGTGCTGGGCTACGTGGTATACGTGGTCTGCCATAAAATATGTTATAGGCATGTGGTACCTCCAGAGTAGATGATACCAAATGCAAAACACAAACTGTCCATGCTTTTCTCTGATGACAATTGATCGTACTTGGCCTTGGACGATCAATCCTCCACCAGCCCAGAGCCTTCTTAGGTTGGTCCCAGCAACTGCTGACCGTTTCGGCGGTCCGTGGTCAGTCCTGGAGGTCCAAGAAGGTGTTCCTCACCACCAGCTGGGCTTCGGGCCTCTTCTGGCCTTCCTGCCTTGGTCTTGGTCGGTCCAAAAGGACCTACAGAAGTTCAGTGACCTTATAGGACCCCACGGGGGGGAACTATAGGATAGTCTATAGGGTCCTTCAACCCCTGCTAGGGGGTTTAGCCCTAGCTGAAAACACCCCCCAAAAAAGATCTTTGCATTTTAATGTCCTACAGTAGGGCTCCAACCGGACTCCAACCACATCCTCACAGGTGCTTGGGGGTGGCTGGCAACCGGGGGGGGGGGTCAAATACTGCCTTCTTCCTTGAGGATGTGGGCTCTTCTCTCGCCCACACGCGAGCGATCCGCGATGGACCTTCGTGGCTCTAAGTGGGAACTCCGTGGCTCGAAGGAGTGGAGGCCGAGAGTCGAATGTCTTGGGTTGTTGGAGGGGCCACGGTAAAACGTTGGGCTGCTTGGTCGTTCGGCACTGCCGCGGCTCGGCAGTTGGTCATAGAGAGTCGATCAATATCACGTTCCAGGCGATTGCCAGTAACAATCCCTGCCCTGAAGGGACCTGAAGTGAGTTTCTCAGTGGCACAATCTCATCAAACTCTTGTTGGTCAAAGGCCATGATGGCCTCTCATTCTCTATATGGCTTGGAGATCTGCGGTTTCTGATCTTGGAGTGCGCCAGGGAACATCAAATGAAGCCCAGTTGGCTATCTCCAATCAATCCCTGGTCGACCAGTGTCATTTTTGTACACTACACTACTAAGGACCCACTTGGGTCTCAAATCAAACATGCTGATGCCGGATATGTTTTTTTTCTTTCTCGGAGTCTAAGCTCACCACTATCCAAATCACAAAGCTACTTCGCAGGCGGGGTCCCTAATGTACAAACATGCAGAAATGGGTCACGTGCTGCAAATGCCTTCATTTCAGGCACCTCACCTCCTCGCCAAGATGAACTACAATCTGACCGCGGCCTGGAAGTTGGCAAATGAAATGCAAAATGCACTCTAAGATCCCCTATGAAATTCATATGGGTACTTGGGTAGCTATACAACGGTTCTATAGTGCTATAAAACGATTGCTGGGGAGTACCCAGGTGACCTGATTCTATAGAGGGAATTTTAAGGGGATACTCTAAGTGACATGCACATCAGTTCCAATTTTTAGTGCTTTGATCACACAAAGTACCCCCAACAGCTTCACCACCCAACAGCTGCCACAGACCACCACACGCCGCGCCGATCCACGCACCGCGCATCGCGCATCACGGTCTACGAGTATAGACCGAGGGGCATGGCATGATGGAACTCTGGAACGAACCTGGGCTCCACTCCGTCCTGCATACCTCGCTGCCGCGGAACAAGGAGCATCCAACAGTTGAGGGGCGGGATGCGAAGTCCAACTTGGGAATTCCAAGATCCCTCTAGGGCTCCAGTCCTACTTCCTCAGAAGGCATGACTGGATCCTCCTGGCACCCACCCCAGTCCCACGTTCGCAGAAGGTACTTGGAGCCCTACAAAATGGGTTGATCACAAATTTGAGATCTACAATTCGATCTGGAAATCCAGATTGTCGCACATCTCTCTCATGATTTGTGACCCACACAAGGCACCCGCTAGAGAGAATAAACCAAGTGACTTAATGATACTCCTAATGGTATAATCGACAGAGAATGACATGTATAATTAATCCTAATGCAGCAACGAGGGTGGAGTGTGCCCCAAATTTGCAGCAAGTCTTCAAGACCGTCAGCTTCCAAGTTCCACAAGTTTCCAAGTAAAGGCTCCAAGCACGGGCCCGGCAGAACGTCCAGGACAAAAACAAATCGATCACCCCCCCTGTCGAGAGTTTCGCTCAACTCCCAAAATGCACACGGCTAGTGTGACACACTGAGAAAACACAAGCATTTCAAACACATGTCCCACATTAGCCCCATGAGTATTCACAACATGCAACACATCATGATGATCCCCATGGACCGACTGCGGCCGCTCCCCCTTCCGTCGCCAAATCGCCAGGTGCGACGGTGCCCCCGTTGGCGCGGCGGTAGGCTGTCTTGGCCAGGCGGAAAATGTCCAGGAACCGGGCGCGAATCTTAGAAAGGCCGGATGGAACCAGTCTGAACCAGTCCAATCACCACAAACCTTCGATCAACCTGGGACTTGGCTTGAGAATTGGAGGGCGCTGACTTCTGGGAGAGCAAAAGTCTGCCACAAAACCTTCAAGGGTCTTTTTGTTGCTTGTGCGTGGATATTTGATGAACATTTGGAAAGGGGTTCAATGAATCCAATATACATCAATGATGCTGTGATACTTAGTTACCAACTTGTCTTCACTCACAAATGTGCCCCGTCCCTGGTCACCGAACCGAAACTATTCCAAGTGACGGCCTCCCATTGACTTCGGCAGACTACGCACTGATATGGAACCAGCCTTCGGCTGTCCAGAGTATCAAAGATTTCAATCTCCTGACCAATTGCTGCGAGAAAGCACTTCAAATACCTCGGCTTTTGGGGCGCAGAAATGGCGCAAACCATCGGATTCAGTTGGGCACCGGTTCGGTGGGAACGGCCAAACAGCTTCAAGAAGAGCAGACGGAAACCTGAAAACCCCGAAATAAACCAGCTCAAAGCTATAGAAAGCCCTAGCTGAAGCCCTGTGAAACGAATTTTTAAGGCGTTCTTTCTATTTTTTGATACTAGTATGAGCACAGATCTTTCTTTTTGGTGGGGGGGTTGTCATCTCAGCTCACATGATTTGGGCACTCTTATGCCCGGACCTCGATCTTCTCTGCATCTGTTCTCCCCGAAACCAAACAAACCAGCCAAGCAGTGGAACGGCGGCCAGGGCGGTCAAAACATGGGAATAGAGTCACTCGAGAAATTACGTGCTGGACACGATGTAGTGCTGAGGCCTTGTATCAACTTGTATCTTTAATGTGGTCCATTTGCGGTGATCAAAGTCCTTATAATACCCAAACACTCCATGTATGCAATATATGCCGCCCAATTGACACCCAAAAACACCCCAATGTAGGTTTGTATGCCAGTTGTCTGGGATATAGGAGCTCGTGATCGGTGCTGAGGAGCCACACATTGAGCCCTGATGCATGCGATTTCGCATGCGATTTCGCATGCCACACCAGGTCAGAAAAGTACCATTTCAGCGGTCCAAACGTTGGCAATCTTGCGTGCTTCTTTGTACAATTGAACCACACTGTTCACAAATAGAAAATGAACCTCTCCGTCCCCCCTGCAGCTTGAGATGCTGCCTCAAGTGAAATCCTCGGTTTCAGCTGGCAAGTTGTGAATCCCAAGCGAACAAATCCGGATGTCCAAAGGTTCGCAGCTGCAGGTCCAAAATTGTCCTAATTATTGAAAAATCGTGCGAACCAAACAAACTGCGTTTGATTGGGGTGAGAGTAGCAATGTGTAGCCGTACAACTCATCGGTACTGTTCTTTAGCAAAGGGGATGCAACATGTGATAGTGCAGCAATGGAGCTGAATAATCAAAGCCTTGCCATTTCGTTAAATTGTTCTACGGTTATATTCCATACCTAAGACACCCAGGCCCAAGTATGTAAAATTGTTGTCGTTTTGTGACACTCAACTAATTTCTAACGTTTGATGTAGTTTTAGTCGTTTTCTGAAACAACAATACCGTTTCATGGCTTTGTCTGCCGCCTTGGACCTTAGGTAGTGCAAAAACAAGTGCAAAAAGTGCACCGTTGCGCGCCGTTTTGTTTCTTGTGTTTCTTTCGGGCGAAGTGTTCCTGCTGGTAATTTCGACCATCCTATCCAAATTCCAAACAGTGCTGCACTACAGAAATGCCCGCCGTCTGGCCTAAGAACTATGATATGTTGATTGAAACAACCCAAAAAATTACATGCAAAGGACACATAAATATGTTTTCTTTTTTCCGCTCCTTGCCGTTGAAGATCAAAAACCACGCAGAAAACCCGGGAAAACAGAAACTGCGCGTACCACACGCCACGCTACCCCGCCGCTGTCCGACCGAGCTGCGCTCGCTTTGGAACCGCGTCCAATAGCGAAAACCCAAGGCTTCACCGGCGTCGATGGTGACGATGGCGCGCTCCTCGTCGAACACCGGAACCAGTGGGAAACCACGCTGGAAGCTCCTGGAGGGTCCAAGTCTGAGAAATTGGAAGCCTCAGAAGTCTGAGAAACATGGGCCTTTCTTTTGGGGCAAGAACCTCACACACACACACACTCTGGGGAATGAATTGGGAATGTGGAGCGAATTCCTTGAAGCTCAGAAATACAGGTCAAAGGTGAGTTAATGACACCGTCGATCATGTCGATCATGCAGTATGTTTGAAGCAAACTGACTTGTCAAGAACTCAACAGCAAAGAACATGGGGTGTTATCACTCAGCAGGTACACCAGGTTGATCAGACCCGGCTTCCACCATCACGCATAGCTTCGTTGGCATGCGTTTGCGTGATGGCCGCATGCCCCCTGCTCTCGAAATTCGCAATTCCGAAAGTGCAACATCCGCATGTTAGAGCGGTTTACACACACAGGGCCCTCCCTACGGAGGGCTCAGACTTCAGATCTGAGAATGAGAAAAGTTTTAAGGTCGGGACTACCTAGAAAGAGGGGAATCCTCGTACCCAACCAGGTGGTTTTGACGGCATAGAATGGGTTCCTTGCGCCCATCACATCAAAGGCACAAACTTGGAATGTCTGAACAGACCCCAGATCCGAGAGTAACTTAAGGTCCGGACGGCATGATGTCAATTAAGCGCCAGGCGTTCTAAGCCAGGACCCTGCTGGCCCCCCAAGGGGTTGCATTTTAACCAAGAGAAGTTAGGAGCAAGGGGTTTCCGCGCACCCAATGGGCAAGGCGGGAACAGACTGCAACGATCCGATCGACGACAACGCGCATCCTGACTGCGCTTATTGAATAAAACCAGGTGAAGCTCAAAGGCCTAAAGGAAGAAAAGGAGAGGTTTCCTCGTACCAAACATGTGCAGCGGTTTGCATCCATGACCGACAGGCTGTGGATGACTGTGTAGATCAATTCGGGTCAGTTGCAGAACAACAAAGTGAAGCCTAGAAGTGAGGGGTTTCCTCGTACCAAACATATCGGTCAGAAAAGCCCGAAGAGGGGCTGATATTGCGCTACTCTTTGAGAACTCAAGCTTAATGTCGGGTAGTAACAAGTGTAAGCCTAGAAAATGAGGGGGCTCCTGGAATCCCAAGGTCCTTAACAAGTGATGTTACATATCCAAAAATAGTGACATTGTTTCCAAATGACGTAACTTCTGATCAAGTCAGAAGTAAGCTTGAGAGTCGGACATGTACGTACTGTAGTTCAATCAACTTATTCGAATCTGCTTTGCATTGCAACTTTGCGCTATGGCAGCTTCTGCCGCTTTGCAACTGCGCATATTTTGTGCGTGCTAGCGATTACTCAACACCACTTTGGTGTGCAGGATTAAAGAAACTCCAAGTGAGGGCCATTGTCTTCTCGCGGGAAGGGTCGTGCCTTCTATAGAGTCCCACGCGGAGTCTCGACGGTGGCGCCAGATCTGGCATGAACCCTCAACACACTGGGGAACGAGTTGGAAATGTGGAGCGATAGGATATGATAGGATGATGGCAAAGCCCAGAACCTCCTAAGTATGTGTCCTTGAAGCTCAGAAATGCAGGTCAAAGGTGAGTTAACGACATCGTCAATCATGTCCATCATGCAGTATGTTTGAAGCGAACTGACGTGTCAAGAAATCAACAGCAAAGATGTTATCACTCAGCAGGTACACCAGGTTGATCAGACCCGGCTTCCACCATCACGCATAGCTTCGTTGGCATGCGTTTGCGTGATGGCCGCATGCCCCCCGCTCTCAAAATTATCAATTCCGAAAGTTCAACATCCGCATGTTAGAGCGGTTTACACACACCACACACACTCTATACTCTCTCTTCTTCTTCTCTCTCTTCCTCTCTCTCTCTCTGTCTCTTTCTCTCTTTGGTCAGATGTTTTTTTCAACGCAGTATGTTTTCAGGCAAGCATTGCAGACCTGTTGGGCTTGCGAACGATTCTTGTGCTAGGCTTCTGTTGGTCTACCTGACGATGTCTCACAACAAAGGATCATCAACAAAGGATGTCACTCCGCACGCAAGGTAGATGCTTGAACTCCTACGGTTTAGATTAGTTATATAAGTATTTGGACGTATATAATTGTTCTTCTTCCGATGTTCCCATAGTTCATAGCTGCTCCTTGCCTGTATGGGTGAACTTCAACCCAATGACCATGCTTCAAGGACCAAAACGAAAGTACATATAGAGTCCGCGGCCACTTTTAATCAAGAAATGCACAAATCGTTGGCAATTTCTGCAAGTCTTTGGCAAGCACTTGCACTTTAGGTGGATTCAGTCAACTTCTCAAGGGATTCCTCAAGGAATGATTTGGTCAAAACTCTTCAGCAGCCCTGCTCTGTGATAGTTCAGCAAACATCAACAACTTTGGAATCCTTGAGGTGGCTCCAAATGGTCAGCGAACCTCAAACAGCAATTTGTAAATCTAAAGTCCTATATGACTATATGATACTATATGTATAAATACGAAACCCCTACCAAATGGTTCTTCATGAACTGCACCATCAGAAACAAAGGTCGGTTTTGATCTCTAACACCTTCGGTGGTGGACCAACGCTTCGGGGTGTCAATAAGGTGTGCCAGCGGCAAAAGATATCAACATCAATGCCTTCACAGTATACTGTATATAGTTATTCTACTGATACATATACTGATCATTGCGATGTCCTCATCTGTTGCAGATTCCTTCTCTTTGGTGCATGTTCCGCAGCAACAACAAACGCCCCCCCCACCAACGCCCCGGGGCACTGGATCTGCAAGATCACGTAGAAGCTCTCATCCGCCGCACGCAGTTGGACGATGCCAGGCCGGTTCAGCCTCAAACGCGACTGTTCCGGTGGAGTGATGATGAGTCTCATCCCCCTTGGAGGCCCCCCTTGGAGGCCGCCCTTGGAGCCCATTCTCGGGTGTGAGACAGTCCATTCATCCACACCACGCATGTGTTGCGGGATTTTTCCGTGTCCAGTCCAACTTTGGCATAGAAGCAAGGCATCCAGAAGCCTCCAAGAACTTAAGCCACTTAAGCTTCAATCCATCGTTGGGGCTTTGAGACCTCGCTCTTCATGGTTTCTTCTTTCGGACCTCCGACGGTTCGATCCAGTCTGCACCAAGCCACAGCCAATTGCAAGTCCGATGCGCAAGTGTCAAAAAGGTCCTGGCACAAACGAGGAAAACCACTCAACCAAATCATGATGCGGAACAAACATCTTTTTGCACGCAAAAATTCCTCAGCTTGAGCTATATAGATATATAGCTATAGTAATCCAGCGGATTCTTGTGTAATCACAATCAAACTGTGTAGTGCACCGAGACGTTGAATATCATGCGTGGAGTTCTGCATGGTCCTGCATGTGTTCAATCTGAAACGCAATTCCTCGTTCCTTCTGGTTCGTCCCTACTATGAACGCCTTGAACACGTTTCCCCTCAAGAAGGTTCAACGTAAAGCCAGTGACTGGGTCACCAACAAATGATAGACCATGTAACAGTTGGGACCAGGAATGCCCAACCCATCGCCACCGAGGACGCAGGGCATTGTCACCCATCGCCACTAGTCACGCCATATCACGCCATAATTATCTCGGTCAAGGCTCCAACCATATCCTCAGGTTCGGTGGTTAGACCCCCTTGGCACCCACCCCTGGCCCATCTTCGAAACGGAGGTGGGCCAGGAGCCCTACGGAGAGAACACTCACCCACCAAAAATCCCCTCCGCCCGAGAGGCCACGCCGGACCGTCCTACGACCCTCGGACGCCGTATAGACTGAATCTTCCGGGATCCGGAAGTCGAACGAACGACGACGCGGAACCACCGCGCGGAGCAACCGCCCACGCAGCCTGAATTGGAAGGTGGCCCAGGAGGCGAACTTATCATGTGGCAGTCCTCATGTGTCTCGTCGTCTCGTGGTGGGTGGGCGGGTGAAGGGCGGTCGTGCACTGCGTCGTGCACGCGCTGAACACAGAAGAATGGTGGGCGTGCACGCGATGCCGTTCACGTCACCAGGTGGGCCTTAAGGGTCCTTCTTGTAAAAGCACATGTTGAGTGGAGGTGGTGTTCCTTCAAACGTGTGCCATGTATAGAGCATGCGATTGGTGACCTTGCTATGCATCTGGGCTGCGCGCCTTCTGAGCGTGGCATATTTAAAGTCGATACACAAATCACTACTCTGTGAAACTCAGCTGGAGGTTCAGGAACTGGCACCCCGTAAGCCTTTCTCTTCAATGTCTATGGCGAGGGTGTCATCTTTGTCTGCGTCCTGTCTCTTTCCTCTCAAAGTCAAAAAGACTCTATAGAAGCCAATCCACTCAAACAGACATGATTCTATGCTGGACCTTTGTGGAAGAGCCTCTCGCTGCTGCATGCCTGCGTTGGGATCCGGATCAAGACAGCTCTTTGAACCAAAAGGGGTATGCAGTACCCAAACACTCCATGTGTGGAATATATGCCGATCAATTGAACCCCCTGGCACCACCTCAACTGATCGGCAGTCCTATTGGCAGTCCCATTAGTCGTGTTACGGGTAGGCAAGCAAAGCCATTTTTTCTCGATCAAATGGGGTGGGGAGGGTCGCCAGAAAAATTTGACTACCTATAGATCAGAGTAGGATTAGATCAGAGCAGGGAAGGTCATTGAATTTTCTTGGTGAGAGGGGGGTACTCATAGGGTCGCCCAAGTTGGATTTGTCATCTCCTTCCCTCACCAAATCCGCGGGATCCCGACATCTCGGCAGCTAGGCCACGCACCACTGCAGTCGCGAAGAAAAGCTTCTCAGTACCCGAGGGCTGGATGAGGAAAATCCCTTCCTGCAGCAGAATCGATGACTCTGGTGACTTGGGGCAGGAATTTAGACTGTTTCTGTGATTTTACACACCTTCCTGTTTCTGTGATTTTACAGATCTGGTCGCACAAAACCCGCACCACTCGCACAACACATCGCATCGATCTCCCATCCATGACATCGAGTTCGAGTCCGACAAAGTTTCGACCCCGTGCCAAGGAGCCAAGGAGCCGGAGAAAAAAACGAAAAAGCTCAAGCACATGGTTTGATGAGACTGGACATCTCAAAGGACTGCGGTCACACTGAAAACTCTGGAACATGACTCACATAACCCCTTGGAGAAAACAAAACTTCGACCCTTCTGTGCCACGGTCCGACTGCTCCTGGCCTGTCTTAGTGAGCCGGTCTCCTCCCAGAAGGCGGTTGCGCTGTTGCCCTCCTTGGGATAGTCCCTGCGGATCTTGTGATGCAAGGCCACTGGGAAGTGGGCATCATGGAAGCCTCATCTTCCGGCGTCGGACGCGGAGTCCGAAGTCCGCGAAGTTCGCGGAAGTGAACGGAGTGAAGCTTTCGATGCGCAAAGAGCAGCATGGATGAGCAAGCAAGCTGATCAAGCTGCAGAGTGCACAGACGTTCCGGAACGAAGAACACAAGAAAAAGCAACACACAAACACATTACGATATGACAAAGAAAAAATCTATAGAAGTACCCATTGCACCCTCTTTTTCCCAACACCAGGCCCCCACCAGGCCGAAGAAATACGTGTCCGGCCGGCCCATACAGGTCTCCCAGGCGCAGAAGCTGCTGGAGGTGCCTGCCGACATCTCCCCAAAGAGCACGGCACCTCGGTCGGGCCGGTGAAGAGCACCCGAGGTGAAGGACCCCGGTCGTCTCGGGCCGTCCGGCCAGGGCTGGGAGTCCAGCCGAGAGTTCTGACTTGAACGGGTCAACTTGACGACTTGTTTGATGACTCCTTGTTTATGACTGTTTTCAACTTCGGTGCCAAAGCCTTCCGGGAAATGGTATCATATGGTATCACGGTATCAGTAAGACCTGTGAGTAGAACAGTTCAGTCAATAGAATTGAATCATCGTCTCTCCTGTTCAATCTAGCCGTTCATGGGTTGCCGACGCATGAGCAATAAATGTTTCCCTCTTTTCATTAAGCCTCCCTGTCTCCTGAAGCACTGTGAATTGCAAGAAAACACACATGAAATTCTTGTTGGACGTGTCTCAGCCCCACTGTGGCGGATAGTCCTTTCGCATGCTTCACTCAAGCAATATGGGAACTTACCGAAAGGCACACACTTGACCAAAAAGGAACCCTTTTGCCTCTTGCCTTCGGAAAAATGAGGTGTGGTTAACTTGTGTCCCTGGCACTTGTTATATACTCCTTTCTTGTTTGCAAAACACACCACATCCATCCCACACAATTCGGGTCAGCAAGGTGCACAAGCGAAAGAGTTTGGTGCTCGTAAGTCCCTTCAGCACTGCTTCTCCAGGGCAAATGAAGCGTTCCAGCGTCATCTTGGTACCTGCAAGTGCGTGGCCAAACACGGCCTTCGGTTGCCAAGGGTCCAAGGGACTACAACCGCACAGTGGGCTCCAAGGGTTTGTACAAAGCATACTCTTTAATCACAACCAAACTGCGTAAGGAAGAGGCGACTTCAACTTTCAACAAAATCCTTTCTGCTATGGTAGGCTTCATTTTAGCATCATAAACGATGCGACTTCACCGCTTGACTTGCTTTGGGATCAGCAAAAAAGGTGAAACGGCCTCCCTAAACCCTACTCTAATGGGTGCGGAGAGTCCAGCCACCCAGCCTGCTCCTCGGATTGGCCGGGAAGCAAAACCCCACGGAAAAACCGTGGATCCGGCGAGCCTTCGGACTACCTCCCCCAATCGATGGAGGCAGCCAAAATCCTCTGTTTCGGTCTTGCAGGAAGTGGAAGGAACTGGAAGGAACTCCCTATACGGTCGAAACCAGGCCTCCATGTTTGAGAATCGACTCATAGGTCCGGTGTATATGAAGGTCGTTTCGTCCTAGTGATCGAACCGTAACACCACGGCTTGCTATCGCTGAGGTGGAAAAACAACTGCTGACGCCGCTATCCGTCATAGGCATCCGTCTTTGGACGATTTTTCGACTCTCCGGAGGTGAGAGCAACCAACGAAAAAGAGCAGTGCTTCCAACCATCTCAGACTGAAAGACGAAAGACTCAGCTGAAGGAGTTGTTCACTTCGATCAAACCCTCCTAGTCAGTGACCTGATGAAGACTACAGAACAAAAACCAGGTAATTAACCAACTTGAAGCATGTATGACGCCCAAGGACCCCCCCCCCAAAAAAAAACAGAACCGGTGTCTTCCACTCCCTCGTCTGACTGAGAACGCCGAGCTGCCGCAAAGGGGGGAGCGCGACTGAAAGGCGGCACGGACCTCGGGTCGGACGATGATCTTCCCTGTCTTCTCAGGCGCGTTCTCCTGAGGCGGAGGTGGGGCGCCAGGGTCGGGCGAGGGCAGCAGAGGACATGAGAAGCAGCTTGTGCTTGGGAGCTTTGGAGCTTTGTAACTGGTTTCAGGTCAGAAAGTTGTACAACACTGGCAAGCAGGAGCAGGGAGGTAGGTTCCAAGCAGCCCTGATAGCATCATCTCCTATTTCAGTCAGGGCCATAGGAAACGAAAGCCAAACTGTGTGCTTCACCCAACTTCACCACATGATTGTGGGTGAAAGGCACTGAAGGGCACCTCTAAGGCTCAGTTTGGAGGCCTGAAAAACGCACCGCGGTCCAAAGTTTGTTGTGGATACCGTGGATGCTATCTACAATCTGCCCAGAAGAACTTATAGACCTCAATGTGGGTACAAGCCAGTAGGCACCTCTATAGTTTGTCAAAGTCTCGATGCGGACATCTTCCAAGTCCACTTTGATGAGGCGCCCACCCCAGGGGCATCCACAATGAGATAACCTTAGTATTCGGTGTCCTTTGGAATGGCCGAACCTTCCGTCCCACACCATCACTGCGAGATTGTATATTTATATATATCCCTAGGGCTCCAAATACTTTCTGAGAAGGTGTTTAGGGTGGGTTCAGAGGGTCCAAATACCTTCTGAGGAGGTACTTGGAGCCCTAGGGTATATACACAAGTACAGCTAAAGAACTGGCTGGCTGGCTTTTCAATTGCTATGGCCCGGAGTAAGTTGATGCGTGCTTCACTCACATGTTTTTCTTCGTTCATCAGTGGAATGGTCTTGATCCATGTGGGCCACCTCTGTATGGTCTTCTCGCAGACTTGGGTACCATGCAGCATCTGCAGGGTTTGGGGCGGTTCCAAAAGCCCTGCGACAAACTCCTGGGCGAGGGAGATATGCTGTGGAAAACTGGGTCAACATGTGTTCCCGCATGTTCCATCCTGAAAATAGGAATCATAATGAGATCTATTGGATGTCTGCCTGTAGCGAAAAAAACATCGAGGGAAGTCGTTAACTTCCAATGTGATGGCATCCAAATCTGCTTGTTGATTGGAATGAATTGCAATGACTTAGGGTGAGTTGAATGCTTCTTGTATTGCTTTCTTATCACCCATCATGATGATGTTCCATTATTTACCCACATGATTAATCCATGTCTGGCTGTGCACTCCAGGAATTCAGGAGTTTGCTTACTGATTCTGCAGCTATTGACACTTATAACTTATAACAAATGTTTGCTCTCCCAAAAAGGCTCAGCAACTTGGCGTGAGGCCTCTTCATAGCGACCTCCTGGGCTGCTGTCAGGGACGGCTTTGTCAGGCTATCTTCAGTCGAGCCGCTGCTTGAGAAAAGCAGAAGCACAATCGGTTCAGTCAGGGACGGGAGTCCGGACCAAACATAGGAAACCAACAACAAAAGGCAGATCATGGCGGGGTGAGCATATACACAACAAACAAACACAAGCTCCCCAAAAGGCTATTCTGCAGCCGACGGTGAGTCAAGCCTCTTGCTGGCGATGATTTCGGGCTCACTAATTGAACTGACGTCCTAAGAGGATTTGAGACTTCAGGATTTTATTTTGTTGTAGAGCGGGGTGCGTTCCTTTTCTCTTCAAAGTCCCAGTGGTTGGCAGCTGTGAATGAAATGACCAGTTGTACACTCCTCTCACTTTCTCACAAAGGACAGTCATGACTGGAGCGGAAACAGAAAAACATTACATCCATCATCTACATCATCTATCCCCCGATCATGCGATACAATGCAATTTTTGTGGCCATGTTCATCACTAAAGGTTGACTTCTGCATCAGCCACTCCGGGAAGTCACTGTGTGGCAGGTGTATCTCAACTAAATGTAGACGATGTGATCAATCTAAGACCAGCTATCCATGGGTTAGGCAATGCTATGCAAAATTACGTGACTTGCGGGTTCCCCAACGAAAACCTGGTCTCGCTTGGGATATGCATGACCAACATCCGACCACCGGCAAAACGCACCTCTTCCTGCTGCGGGATCAGTTCATCACACGTTTTTGAATCCAAGCCAGGCTGCCCATCCATCTTCCAATAACCTCAGTCAATGAATTGGTTTAAGGGAAAATCTGCAGGAAACCCATCCTTTATGGGAGTGAACGCCGTTGTTTCCTGTAGATGTTCCCTTAAACAAATTCATTCACGGCGCGGCGTGACCATTCTAGGGTTGTTTCTTGACTGTCGCAGAGTGCATTGCAAATAATTCCAGTGCCTTACCATGGATCATGATGGTAAGCATGACTTCTACTAAACATGGATTCAGGGGAATAGAAGACTGCAAAATCATACCAAAGTAAGATTCCTACCTCCCAAATCGGCAAATTACCTTGCACTCTCCGGCTGTGGTACCTCTGATGGCTAATGCTGACGGAGATTGAAGAAATACTTGAAATTGAAGCAGCACTCCCAAATTCATCAAGTGAGACTTGAAGAAGTACTTCCCACTACTGCTCTTCTCCATTGGTCCATCTCCTCAGAGCTGGGAGGCAAGTGAGGCACGCGTCGGAACCATTCCTCGACTCCTTCTGGTCGGGAGGGCTCCGGCATCATGTCGGCCATGTTCTTCGGCGTTGGCGTTGGCGTTAGCTGCTCTCGTGGAGACCCGGCGATTGCAAAGGCTGCGGGACATGGGCGATAGCTGCGGGACACTCCAAGCACGAAAAACGATCAACACACAGTACACACCGACCAGCTGCGTGACAAAGCACCCCCAAGTAGAAGTATGTCGTCTTCCAAACCAGCTCGCAGGCCATGGGCTATTTGTTTACCAGGAACTGCAAGATCTGGGCATATCTGGGTGGAGCTGCGGCTAGACTCTACATATTGCAACCATAAAGGCAAAAAAAACATGACGCCATCAAAACCTCTCAGGCTCATGGCCCGGTATCCCAAAATCAAATGGAAACGCGTGACATGTGTATATAATGGTATATATATACAGTATATAGAAGGAATGGCAAATATGGAAGGAACACCAATCTGCAGTTTGCCAATCGGGTTTGTGTACTTTGTGGCCACAAACATTGGACATACCTAGATGGATGACAAGGGAAGCGATATGCGCCAATGACACATTCTTTGCTGATTGAAGGCATTTGCAAGCAAATCAAGAGGCAAGCACACTGGTAAACCTCACGTGAGAATCAACATCTAGCGTAGCAATGGCAAATCCTCTCAAGCTGCACACTTCTTGGCAAACCCAAACAAAAGAAGAACCTCTCGACTCCATGGTAGGTAACTACTGTCATATCGAACACAGGAATACTCCCAATTCAAGGGCCGTTCTGAAGTCCTGTGTCCCCGGAGCTTGTGAACAATGGACCTTCCATGAAAAATGCACTTATAATTGCAGAAGGATGACAACACTGTGATCTAACTCTGCAGATATACACCAATTTTCATACAGTACCCCTGTCTTCAGTCATCTTTACTACTTGTTCTGCCCAAACCAACCCTCCGAAGTACCTCAGTGTTTCGCTCAAATCCCGTTTCGTTTCCGTGCGTCAAGGTGCCTCCGGCGCGCGCCCCGCCAGCTCGACGAATTGAAAGCCGCGGGATCGAGTACAAGATCGAGGGCATCGAGGCGATCATGTCTCGATTTGGAGATTTGCTAAATATACTCCCTAATATATATATATAGTACACATAATATTACATTATAATATACTAAATATTAAGCATGCTTTTGCCAAATGTATAGTTCACAAATGTATATATATATATATGACTTTAGAATTCATGATAATTAAGTCTATCCATGAGGGTCTGCAGTTATATGCATTCATACAACATCCGGTGGAGGGCAACACGTAAGATCTGTGGAGTGGAGGGGTTCGCGAGAAGCAATTTCGGCTTCCGAGAAGGCACCAAACCTGCTCTCCCTGTCAAGGATCGGCTCTCAACCAACAAGATGCTACCCTGCTTTCCCATCTGAGAACGGGACAACCCCTATGGAGGCAAGGAAGAGATTGAGTGGAAGTGCCGGCTTCCAAGTAGACTGATTCTGAGATATTCCATGATAATCATCCTTAGGATTCTAGGCAGCATGAAGCTGCACGTGATGTTAAATAAGTCTACCCCACAGGGTGGACATGACCAATCTGGCATTGCTTTCTGATCACTTTCTTCCGAAGGTGTCATGCCTACAACGAGAGGAGGGTCTTTTGCCTTGGCCGGTGGAGACCATGCTGGAGACTTCACGGTCTACCCTGACACTCCATGGCACTGGCATACCTAAGAAGCCTTACCTTGTAGTGGCTGAAAAACAACAGGGCAAAGATGGGCAAAGTTGGCAAATGTACGGTAAATATTCCATACGTTTCCATCCAGTGACTGGAATATGTCAGGATCACCCCGAAACCATGGACAAAACCAGGCAACATCCTGGCACCAAAGCAGTTTTTCAATGGGTTCAGATCCCCCCTTTATCCCAGGGGTTCCTTCACTATCCAACCAGGTCCCCTCTTTATCACGCCTCGGCCATGCGGCCTGTGCATCCCGCAAGGCCCTCAAGAGCCCGTCAAAGCCAGGGGTGTTGCAGCCCTGGCATCTGAACCAAGATCAAATGGATCAGACGGATCCAAAACCGAGTGTGGGGTTTTCCTTTTAGTACCTGGCAGAAAAGGTTATGTATATATATATATATGGGTGTTTCCTTAGTAACGGGCAAAAAGCTATCTAGATACACATAGCTTGAGCAAATGGTTCTCCGCACACATCTGCAATGGCAGTGTCCATCGGGAGTTGTTCGCGCGCGCTCTCTCTCTCTCTCTCTTTCTCTCTCTCGTGTCACCAACCGAGGTGTAGGCGGTGCACGAGAGTTCGCTCTTCCAGCCACAGAAACAGTCTAAGTGACTTCAACAATTAGCAGGTCCTCTTGAAAACAGTATTATATAATATGTAATGTAAATATATGATTTATATATAATATATTACATTATATATTATAGACACCCTCTGGTCAAGAGGGAGCCACTGGTTTGGCTATACTTTTGGTCATGTGTATATTGCTTGGTGTGTCAACACCACTCCAAAAGTCGAACAAGCTCTGTGCGCAGCTTGTAAGCAGCATTTGAGATCAACATAGATCAACTTGAGAGGAGGGAGACACGAAAGGCAGGACAGCAATCGCAAGTCAAACTCAAGGTATCCCCTAAAGGGCTACCTTTCGTGACAATATTCTACAATTCTTTCCTCCAGCTTGCCACAGCTCGTTGCAAGTCCAATTCATGTTAAGGGGGATCATGTGCACTATCTGCCCAAGGCTTCAGTGCACCCCCCCATCACCAGATCTTCGCAAAGGCCTTGAAGCGTTGTGCGACTAAGTATCGCCTCGGCCATGGGTCAAGACTTCTTGCTCTGCAAGCACTGATTCAATGGTGTTTACTAAAGACGCAGGACTTTCAACTCAACAACAAGCCCCGCGCTGTTTCATGAATAGTCTTGGGGTTCTCCTGTCTTTGGAGCTTTTTGTTCCTAGATGTTCCTAGTCACCCGCTCCAACCGGTCGCTTTTCACAAGGTTTAGTGCGACCTCGCATGCAAATGAACAAGAGAAACCATGAAACTGACTTGCGACTCAGGGTAGATGATGTTTATAATTCCATCATCCAAACGCAACCCGAATGTCCTAAAACGTCCAAAGTTTATCGACTCCCAATCAAGCATTTTTGGAGGGTTGAGGTTTGTGCTATCTACTCCGAAACCACCGGTCACCGCACAGGACACATCCAAAAAGAATGGAAGACGAGCGAACGCTCCCAGGTCGCCCCGGGAAGGCCGGTCGCTCATCTCAGCAGCTCCCAGGTCGCCCAGGTCGCGCAGTCACATGGTCACGGAGCAGTTTTCTTTTCAGCGCCCTCATTCCAAATAGCTCTCGAACGGCCGTAGGCGCTCAGCCTCACCAGCAGACCAATCCTGCGACTACTCAAGGCACGAACTCATCTAGAGAGAGTGGCACGACTCCATGCTGACGATTTGGTGAGAAGTGACACACCCCGCGACCATCACTCACTTGGAAAGCATCATGAAGTTACATCAAAGGAAGTGACCTCCTTTCAGACCATCAAAGGAAGTTACATCCTTGGAAGTGGATGTCATGACTTCGAAAGGATGACCATGTTCCAAATACCAAGCGGGTGGAGTTCAGCTCGGGGAGGACATGGTGGCCGCGGGAATCGGGGAAGCTGAGTCTAAATCATGGTGGAAAAAAAACACGGAATGACCTTTCAAAGGAGCCTGGAGTCTACATCCTGGACACCAAAGTGCTGATAATTAAAGGTTGATAACTAGCTAGCTTGATATGTATATATATAATGTAGATGCCTAGAACTTGAGTCACCTTCATTTGGGATCACTCACCACCCGAAATATGATCTGTTCCCATCGAAACTTGAGGCCAAATTGGTGTTTACAAGTGGCACAGTTGTGGTGAGACGCGTTTCATACTTGCGTCTATCAAATGAGTTGTGAGTAGTTGCTTTCCAGGCTCAACATGGCTCAACCAAGGCCCCTGAACATACTGAAGTGCATTTTCCATGTCCATGTGCTTCTTGGCATGAAGGAATGTCAAAGTCTTAGCACCTGATCTACGATCAATAATCTCTTCCTCAAGTCGTCCCTTCTGCCCGGAAAGAAATAACACCTCCCAAGTTCTTGCATCAAAGAAATCATCGACCCCCCTCCAATCTCAGGGATTGTTCCAAGACTTCAATCAACTCACAGCAGGGCATATCACCAGCATGGGCACTTCTACGTTGGCTCCACTAGCAGTGGCATTCCCAAGCGGGAACGCAACCAAACTTGGGATTTCTTGAAGAACACCTCCAGCCGTTGATCCCAGCGCCACTAGCGCAACCGTCCTCCAAATGCTTCCGGGAGATCTCGTCAATTGGCTCCAAGCTTTGCCTCAACTTTGGCACTTTCAGAGGTTAGGGTTCTCCCATGTGTTGCCATTGAAGCCACGACAAAGTTGCTGCAAGCGACATGCACTTCTAATTGCGTTGCAAACTTTCATAAGCTACCAAACCCTCACTAACCTCCAGTCGTACTGTTTTGTGAACCATGCGGAGGCACAAAGTCCATCAAAGGGGGGGATGTCGGAGTTTCATGAGACCTATACTGGAAGCAGGCTTGCCCCTTTGTTTCACTTCAACCTCACTCCTGCAGAATGGTCGGGGCATGTTCAGCGATCTTGAATGCACTGGGGAGTTCACCAAAACCCCACGCACCCTTTCGCCAGGGCGGCAGAGTTTCTTGCAAATCGCTGGGCAAGGGCGAGACCAGCTCCTGCTTGCTTCGATGCTCACGGAATCGGCCCCCAACACACGAGAATGAGACCTAGTTGACTCAACACATGCCATGAACCTCCAGGACTCCAGAAAAGGCAAACCCTAACAATGCCGCAGTGCTGCCCCCCCACATTGTCTGGGCATGCAAAAACCAGAAACCATGATACACCACCTGCTCCAAGATTCTCCACACCACAAGGCTTGCCTTCTCAACGAGAATAACCATTAAACAATAAGCATTCTCCCGGGGAGAATCGGGTCTGCGAACACTAAGGCCTGAAATCTCAGGCCATCTCAGGCCTCCTGAGAAGAAAGTGCAGCAAAATACCGCATCAAAATTCCAGTGTCCCCATAGCTGCTGGCAACAGTTTCTGATTACATCTGGGCCGTACTGAGCGACCTGGGTCGCTCACATCGGGTTTCCCGGGATGACGAGACACACCGAGACCATCCGAGACCCGACCGGCTCAGGGGAGAGTGGGGTAGTTCTCCCCACGACCTTTGGACCCCAAAAATAGGAAGAAAAACCAGTGACACCTGAAAGAATCGCTCTTTTGGAAAGCGGATTGATTTCCTAGGATTATGATGTTGAGCCACGTTGAACCAAGATGAACCGATCTTGAGGACTTTTACTTTGCAGCCACATAGGCCACTGACAAGCATACTTCAGCATATCCACGTTCCACACAGTGGAACAACTCCCCCTTGGTCTGTTCGCCGCAGCTGCTCGACCGCGTGGTGTCACCCGCAGCTCCTCGCCTGCACTGGACCCCCGTGGGGAGAGGCCTCGAGCTCCTCCACGCTGGGGAGATCTCGGAACCTGAGAGGCAAAGGGCGTGGTTCCCAGTAAAGCACCATGGCCGTGGCCGTTGGGGCAAGGGCATGGAAAGGCTGTATATAGTATATAGTATAGTATATATATACTTATAGCGCTTATAGCATAGACCAGTGCTTGCCACTCAGAATATTACATATATAATAATCATATTATGAGCAAAAGAAAATCCACGAAAAAGGGAACATGACATCATGATGTTTTTCGCTTCCCAGCTAACCTCTCAGCCCGGCCACGCTAGGCGATAGGTGTGGAGGAAGTTCCGCGGACACCAGGCACGGTCCTCCGTTAAGTGCTCTTCCGCATACTTGGAATCCTTAAAGCAGCAAGAAAAGCACGTGACATGCAGATGCCTCAGCGAGAGAAAGGTCAACAAAAACACATCACCTGCAAAGTAGATGACACACCATGGCTCAACCAAGCACAACGCCCAAGTGAAGAATAGTTATGCAACTCCCCACCTAGACTTACATGTTTGATGTCTAGTACTGTACTATATAGTGCCATCATGTGCCATCTACTCTGCAGCCAAACTCGAGGACGGCTGGAGAAGCGTGTCGTCACTGCGTCACCGGCCGTCACCTCACGTGGGGCTCCGAGTGGCAGTGACCAACGGATGGCCGATGGACAACATGTGAACACCTCAGAGCACGGAACCCGCTGAAAAAACCGGGTGGGCATTGGAAAAAAACACCAACAGAAGCAAAAACACACGGTCACATGCCCAACGTTGCAGGCCTCTGGGAGATAGCTTGGGGGGCTTGGACTCTGTCTTCGCTTGGACGAAAAGAATGGTCCTGGTCCTGAGGTGAAAAGGAATGTCCTTTACTTCTCAAAATCTAGTCTTTGGACTTCTGAGGTGTAAATCTAGTCTTTGGACTTCTGAGGTGTAAACATTTGAGCAGGACACGAAAGGAAAACTCACAAAACGAACGACGTGCGTTCTCGCTTCACTGATTTACGATCATGTTCTGCTAGATCTCCCAGTCGTTTGTTCCAAGCATGTCCAGCCAGTGCTTTCCTTTACTCTTTCGCCCCTTTTTAGAGAGATGTCACATGATCAAGCCCCATGGACAGCATGTCCTTCCCCCAAGTAGCCATCACCAAGTCCAAGTCAGCCGGCCCGATCGGCGGCGATCGACTGAAAGGACAATTCCGTGAGGATCAAACACTCCCCAGCTGAGCAGCGGATCTGATGGGTGCGTCCGGTGTGGAGCTTCAAAAGCACCAGGGAGTAGGGCTCCTGCCAAACAGGCTAGAACAGAGCAAAGCTCCCAAGGTCAAAGGGTTGTCACTTGGACCATCACATGATTTCATATGAGTTCGTCGATGGTCACCGGGGGGAGGATCTGTGTCACATTTATGGCCAACATAACACCCGTTTGGGCTCCTGGCCCACCTCCGTTTCGGTTCGATGGGCCAAGGGTGGGTGGATGCCAGAGGGGTCGAATACCACCGGTCACCTGAGGAGATGGGACAGGAGCCCAAATGGGATCAAAACCCCCATGTAGAGCCTCACAAGGCTCAGTGTATTCCGCTCTGCCCGTCCGATCCTAGCCGATCCCTCTCCTCAGTGCCCTGTCGCTTCAAGTGGGCTAAGGTGAAAAGCTCCTGGGCGTCCGGAGGGCGTCCGGAGGGTGCGAATCAACCATACGTAGTCACACTGTTCTATAAGTCACAGCTTCAAGATCGTGAACATGATCGTTGGAGGGATTCCCAGACTGCGGCTGAGCACAACTAGACAGTTCAGCTACCAGGAGTGAGGGGATTTTAGACCCAAAGTGAGGGCATAGAGGAGGCGTGCCCTCCAATAGGCAGCCCCTTTGGACCTCCTGGTGTTTTCAGCTTCATGAACACTAAAACTGGCCGGTGGTGTCATTTCACTTGGAACCATATTAGCCAGTGAGCTCAATCATCCCAAGTAGAGCTAGACAATATGACAATATACAAATGACTAACAGTATGTGAAACCAACACCCAGAAAGATAAAGTAATAACATTCTGGAGTCTCTGGAGACAATTACTGAAGGGCGGCTTGAGAGAAGGGATCAGGCACCGCACTTGTTGAAGAACCAGCAATGCTGGAGTTCATGTTCAGATTTGGATTTCACCCTGAGGACTGGATTGGAAGGGCCCTCAGAACTGAATTGATGATAGTTTTTGACACGGACAACCCATGCAAATTCACTGAACCCTCCTCTTCCTCTT